GAAGGGTTCTGTTATTCCTCACCTACCAAGACGTCATTTTGGTTCCTATGGTCAGCTTCCAATGCCCTTCTCCTTCAACCCATTAAATCAAGACTCATCCCTCCAGTTTTCTCCCGGATGCACTACTTGCGTTGTATCTCCCAGAGCAGGTGCGGTAATAGTGCCAGAAATGCCACTCCTACTCGTTCAATCTCAGGAAACGTTTCGGAAACGTTTCTCAGGAAATGCTTCGTAGCATTGAATTCCAAATGACACGTACACTCTAAATCATTTTAATAACAAATCACTGGAATTATATTCACCTTTCTGATTTTTTCACTTTCAATTATTGATTTCTATTTTGTCACTATATACAATTTTCAAAACTATGCTATAAAATTCAACAATAGTAATTATCCAGAAATAGTAATGTTCTCACTAAAACATGATATGCTTTAAAACTCTGTTGATTTTGGAATACAAGGAAGTGAAACAGTATTTGAAAATATTTTATCAAAACGTTCTGAACTAGTTATGGCTACTTAATCCTTTTTTTTTTTTTTTTTACAAGATTCAAACTTTGCAAAATGATATCCATTCTAAGCTGTGTCACTAGCTTCAACATTGTTTTTTAGGACTTTGAAAACAGAAGTACTGTTGCACTTCCTCAAAGAGAGAGAAACATCACTTAATCACTTTCTTTCCTTTGTATAAATTAACTCTGAAATAAATAAGGTTCTTTTCATGGCCTGATAATCAAAAGTTGGCAGCAAAAATACTTTCTCTGATCTTTGTTAACACTGGCATTTGATGTTTTAATTTATGTACTATTGCAGGTCCTCGAAAATTTCCCCTTGCTCAAACTGAATCTCTTCTGGTGAAAATGCGTTCGGTGGCAAATGATGAGCTTCACATGATGATGCAGCGGAGAATGAGCCAAGAGAATCCCAGCCAGGCATCTGAAACAGAGCTTACGCAGAGACTGCAGAGGCTCACTGTTCTAGCAGTCAACAGGATTATTTATCAAGGTAAGACTATAGGATTAATTTGTTCTTCCTCAGATATTGAATGAAAAGGAAAATAATGTAAGAGGGAACTGGTTAGTTTTCAAATTCTTAAACAGCATTATTTTTCAATTCTTAACATCCACATTATTAAAGGAATTTCTTGTTTAGAACTGATAGTCTTAAATAAAAGTCCACTTTTTAATGTGCTAAATGCTACCCTAGATTGACCATTGATTTTAAAATCGTGTGGCACCTCCAATATGATCTTTTGAGATCATTGTAGATTCACGTGCAGTTAAGAAATAATATGGAGAAATCCTGTGTGCTCTTTGCCCAGTTTCCCCCAATGAATCTTGCAAGACTGTAATACAGTATCACCACTAGGATAGGACATTCATGTACAAGTTTTTATGTGACTGTAAGTCCTCATTTTTCTGAGATAAATGCCCAGGAGTGCTATACGTAGAGCAACCACTAAAAACACTATTCAAAGAAATACATTCCAAAACACTATAT